CAGCTGACTTAGTTGAGGTATAAATGATGCTGTAAAGAATAAGGCGTGTCTGCTTGCGTGCCTGCTTTCCCCAAATCCTCAAACTGAGACTTACAAATAAGGGTAATCCTTTTCCAAGCAGATAGTGTGGAAGCTGGACATTGGTTTCAGCCACAGTGCCGCTGCTCAAAGCACATACGGAATGCTTCATGAGTTTGCCTTGCAATTTATGGCATAATTACACAGACATCTTTAATGATAGTTATTCTGTGCCCTTGCACTAAGTTTCATTGTTTGTTTAAATGAGCTAAAGTGATTTAGAAATAAGTAAGGTGAAGTAAATGGGGCAGAATACTTCTGGTCAGAAATGAGGAAAAATGATGGACTCATGAGACTGATTTTCTTATGTGACTTCTAATCCAGATCAGGAGACAACTACAGAATGAGATTTTGTAAAATGTCTGGGCGGTAGGAAGCTGGGTCAGCTAAAGGTGCTAATGTTAGGGAAAACACTAATTTCAGAGTAGATTGCTCTTGCTACTTTATTTTGTATAACTTGTTTTTTACACTACCTAATTTAATGCTTGCCCTGTATGAGAACAACTAAGGAGGAATTCTTTTGACACACAAGAGAAGCAGAAAAACAAAACAAGATGACAGTGTAAGTTCTGACATTAAACTATGTGAAGTCATATCCTGGCTTTACCCCATGCTAGAGCGGGGACTCTGAGCAAGTCACTACACCTCTCTAAGCCTCCGTTTTTTCATCCTTAAAACTAGGGAAATGATAGCATTTGCCCAATATTGCCCTTGTCAGAAGTAAATGTCACAATCTGCATAAAGCATAGAGTGCCTAGTACAAAGTCAGTGCTGTTTTAATGGTACTTGGGATTTGTTTTAATCAGGTATCGTAAGACACACAGATATGGAGATGACTGTCATGAAGGAAGAAGTTTGTTACACAGTAGTTCCCCTTAGCCTCGGGGGGATGCCTGAAACTGTGAACCTTTTAGATACTCTTTTCTCCCATACATCCAGACCTGTGATAAAGTTAAACTTATAAATTAGGCATGATGAGAGATTAACAATAACAACATAAAACAATTATAAAAATATACTGTAATAAAAGTTATGTGAACGTGGTCTTTGTCTGCTTTTCTCTTTCTCAAAATATCTTAATATTCTTTTACTGCAGTTGACGCAAGTAACTGAAACAAGGAAAGCAAAATGGCGATTAAGGAGGGACTGCTGGACTCACAAATCCCTAGAGACAGGGCCCATACCACGCCATTCAGGGGACACACGGGGAAGCGCCAGGGTCTGTGAAGGGGAGAGGGATGTGGAGAAACACTGCCAAGAGCCCCCACTGTTTTCCACAGGAAGGAAGGCGCAGCAGGATGAGCAGGTTTAGGATAAGTGGCTAGTTTGAATCATTACAGACGGCGCTAGGGGGTAGGGGCTGTCCCTAATTGTCTGGTACCTGACCCTGGTGTGACCGGGGCAGGGGAATCATGGCTAGAAGCATAAGGGCCTGATGAAGAAGGTGTCCTGGATATGGGCTCTGGCCCGCTTGGTTTTGTGTGAGAGGTGGCTGACAGCAGGTTGTTTGCTGTATGTAGGAGTTTTCCAGCCCTGAAAGGATAGTCCCTCCAGTGTCTGCAAAGCCCTAAGATGTCTGCATCCAAAATACAGAATAAAAAGATATGGTTCAATACAAGTACTCATTAAGACTAATAATCTGTCATCATCATTCTCATGCCCTTAACAGCACAGCTAACTGATGATTAATATACAGTTTCTGCGTTAACAGTCCTGGACTTTATTAATGGTGGGTGGAAGTTAATATGTGTATGCAAACTAAAAAGTGGCATCCTTTTCCCTAATGACCCAACCATTATTCAAGAGCTGTGTCTAGTTCTGGATTTCAGACTTTTGAAAGAAATGAAGAAATAGTACTAGATACAGGGGCTCACACTTGTAATCCCAGCTACTTGGGGGGCCGAGGTAGGAGGACCGCTTGAGCCTAGGAGTTCGAGACCAGCCTGGACAACATAGCAAAACCCTGCCTCAGTTTTAAAAAAGAAAACAAGAAGAAGTAGTGAAGAAATTGGAGAGGATTCTGAGAAGAAATATGCGAAGTGGAAAAGAGCCTAGAAAGAAAGGTGACAGATGCCGGGATCTAGTCTTCAGAAGAGATATCTGGGAAACAGCATGGCAGCCCTCAAGTACTAGCTCCACTTAAAGATTTAAAAAAATCATTCAGACATTCCCCGTATTTGGTGATCATAGAAGAAACTGTAACAGGCTTAATGTGAAGCAAACAAAATTCAACTTCAACTAAAAGAAAAGCAAATAAATTCCTGATTTTAGGCATCCACAGCGATGCCTTTACACAAGGGTATGAAGGTGAGTCTCAAAAAAGAGAGAAACACCTTTCAGCTTGGACAGAGATTATGTGTCTCAGAGGAAAATGAATACCGAGACAGCTGACCTCTTGGTATCTCTTTCTAAGGATTATCTGCCTCTGTGACCATTTATATTTTCTTGAATTCTCTCTAGTAAGCCCCAAAGACAGCTTTACTTCTTCTTACTTCCTTTTCACAGGGGAAACACACACACACAAACAATAAAATAAAATAAAAAACATAGCTTTAGATATTTTTCAGAAGAGAGAGATTGCTTTACAGAAGAGGCGGGACTTGATCGAGGGTAGAGTTAAAGTACAACAGAGAGACAGTCTGAGACATGAGGCCCCCAGCCTTGCCTATGTCAAGGTTAGCAAGCAGCTTGGCTGAAAACAAGAGGAGTGAGAAGTCAGGGTCCTGCCCCGTCCCATCGTAGGTTGGATTTTCCAAAGAACTGGAAACTGAGGTCATATACATCAACTTGGTTAACAAAGGCCCCCAACCATTACAAAGGAAGGCAGGTGCACTTCCTCTCAAGCTGCCCACATACCTTCCCACCTGCCTATTGTAGGAAAAAAAAAAAAAAAAAGCACAGATAAACAAAAAGAAAATTAAAATCTGATTGGCCCCACCAACTAGTGCCAACAATTTGGGGCATAATTTTCCAAATCTTCTTTTATAGTAAATATATGGGTGCCCTTTTTCCCCCAAAACTTGGATTATACTATGTTTAGCTCTTTAGTTGCTTTTTAAAAAATTCAATGGTATATTTTTATCACCTTTTTATATCAATATTTCTGAAATACCATTTGTAGTGGTTGCTGAATTCCATTGTATGAGTATACAATATGACTCTCTTAATTCAGTAATGTTGGACAATTAGGATCTTTCTACATTTTGTATATTATAAATAGTACTGTAAAGAACACCCTTGTAGGAAAATCTTTGTACCATTCTTAATATTTCTTTAAGGTGTATTCCTTAAAAGATTAGCTCAGTGGGTAGGCTTTTAAAAAATTTTTCATACAACTGCCAAATTGACCTCCAGAAAAATCGTTTGGTGGGAGAGCACCCTTATCAGTTTGCCTGCCATTCTGTTGATTCTTTAGGATTTTACCTCTCCCCACTAGTGTCGCCCTTGTTGGGGTCATCTATCTTCACAATTAAAGCTTTGAAGATAATAATCATCTTTTGTACCCTACATGGCTTTGCTTCATGGAAATGACTCTACTGATCTTATTTATTTTCTGCATACATCCCTAGCTTGCAAAACCACTGAAAGATAAATCAGCAATAAAAAGATAACAAAGTGGCTCATGCCTATAATCCCAACACTTTGGGACGCCCAGGCGGGAGAATCACTTAAGGCCAGGAGTTCAAGATAGGCCTGGACAACACAGTGAGACCCCCCATCTCGACCAAAAAAAAAGTTGATAGATAGATAGATAGATAGATAGATAGATAGATAGATAGATAGATAGATATAAAATTAGCCAGGCATGATAGTGTGCACCTATAGTCCCAGCTACTCAGGAGGCTGAGAAAGGAGGATGGCTTGAGCCCAGGAGTCCAGCCTGAATGACAGAGCAAGACCCTGCCCCCTCCCCGGAAAAAAGCCCCCGTGTGTTTGGAAATTAAGGAATATGCTTCTAAATCACATCTGGATTAAAGAAGAAACCTACTGAAAATTAGAACATGTTTTTCACTGAATGAGAATGAAAATACTACATAGTAAAGCTTTGGGGTTGCTTTTAAAACATCACTAAAAGGAAAACTTGACACTTTAAGAATAAACAGTGAAAATTAATCAGCTAAAAGTACAGCTCAGGAAGTTAGCAAAAACAAACAAACAAAAATAAAGTTATTGAGGTCAGTAGCTTCTTATACATCTTTGTATCCCCTCTCATTTCCCAAACAGCGCTTGACACATGAGAGCAACTTGATGAGCATCGGACTGGATTTGTTCAATCTTTAAAGGCCATGGTCCTGAACATGTGGTATTTCTAAACTGTCAGGGATGAGGGAATGTTTCCAATCTGATTGATCTGCCAAAATAATCCATCCAAGTGTTATCTAATGCTTGCAATAGTAGATTCGAAGTTGGGGAGTAAGAAACACCTAACGGGCCATGTGTTGAAGTGGGCTAGTGAAGATTACCATGGTTCACCAGGTTCACAGTGCCCTAGGTTATGGTATGGCTGCCTTTTCCTTAACTTGGAGATTCCAGGGAAGTGTTTTGTGTTTATTGTACAAAAAAATCTCTTGGAGATAAAGGCTAAAGGTAAGTCCCTTTGTATCATTCCATCAGGCACATTGCTTTTGATCATCAGAAGCCAAGAACAAGGACCTGGTCCTATGCCTGTTACATGGGCAACTGTCTGTTGAAGTTAAAGAAAGTTTTGCATGTATAAGGGATGGAGGATTAGGCCCTGGGGATCAATTTTACTCAAGGAAAAAGAAGTGACTTTAATTTCATTAATGGTCTCCTGGATGATTCTGCTACAAGTTTAATTCTCCATTAAATATTAATGCCACTCAGTGCTTAGCATCCTGCCTTCAGTATCATACCACTCATTCTGACACTAACCTGTTTTATATTTTATAACCGTATCACAGGGCTTTTTCAGGAGAAGTCAGCAAAGCAATGCCACCTACTCCTGTCCTCGTCAGAAGAACTGTTTGATTGATCGAACCAGTAGAAACCGCTGCCAACACTGTCGATTACAGAAATGCCTTGCCGTGGGGATGTCTCGAGATGGTGAGCTCTCACAGCTTGAGTTGTACAGTTGCAAGGGGTTGTGAAAGTGCCTTCTAAAACCTGGACTCAGATCTGCCAATATCTGCCCCGCCTGTCCCCTCCTCATTATTCCACCTCACGCCCCCCCATGCTCCTCTGGCAGCTTCATAGAACTCACAGCAGCCGCTTCCTCCTCCTCCTCATCCTCAGTGTCAGCCAGCTGGCTGATGGGTGGGGGTGGTGTGGAAGAGAAGTGTCTCGTGGTCAGAACACCTTCAGATTTTTGATATTTCAGCCATTATAGGTGGGTGGATTGATTGACGGTAAGTGTCATCTGGGGCCTTACTAAAGATGCCTCCTCTAGGCATTTTCCCCCGTAGGAAACGTGAACCACAACTGTTACTTGCTTTACACTAGTAAGTCTATTGGAGGTTGAGATGAAGCCACTTTCATGCTAACTGGATATTTTGAATCACATGCCAAAGCCAACTATTTGTACATACAGAATGTGTGAAAATAGTGCAAAGCATGGCTCAATGACAAGTGTTCTTTTCATTAAACGAAGCTACTTTAAGGAATAGAGACCATCTATCATTCAAGTACAAAACGTTTCAAGATCTTCCTGGAAAACTATCTTAAGTGCACTGAATAATCGACACCAGATTTCAAGACAGTTATGCTTATACGTGGAAACTGGGCAGAAAGCACAGCGGGTCCATTTTAAGGATTTTTTCCAAATATACCAGCTGGCTCTCTTAAGAGATCCCTTTGAAGGAAAATGTCTCCTCCAATGGAATTTCAGCCTGTGGAAAAATACTTCAGAATGCGGAGCAGGCTTTCCAACAGTCTGCCTTCCCCGTAATCTGATGTTCTTAGCGCCCATAGACCTACATAGGCACGAGTTCACTTTTGCTCCTGCATATTCTAAGAGGCCACTCTGTGCACCACTACAAAAGTGAAGCTTTTGTCATTGGAAGTTACAAATGACAGAACTTCCACCATATTCTCAGAAATTCCTGTGACATGCAACTCAGCAGATTTCATCTTCTGATGGTACTAAACCGACAAAGTTAGGTATATCTCCTCCATTTGTAAGTTCAAATCACAAGTTGTGTGTGCATTTTCTCAAGAGCTGGTCCCTTTATTTCACTTACAGGATATAATTGCCGTTGTTAATATTAAGACAAAAGTTAAATCATAATTGCAGAGTCACAGCAGAAGTTTCACCTGTGGGTATTAGGCCCCTTAGGTGTCCTAGAAAATGTTTTCCAAAACATTAAGCACCTTCAGTATGCCTTCTGAAAATTTTGCATACAAGAAATAGCACAAGTTGTTGTAGGCATCGAATGAATTCTGGAGGTTATGAAATTATGGTTCTGAAACTCAGAGCCCACATCAGCCTGGTTGCTGCCTGAGCAGCACCACCTCAGTTTGTTATCTGAGTCGTGGAAACTGGAAAGTGACCAGTATTCCAGCTCACTTGTTTCCTCTGTGAACAAGGACAGAGCGTCCTCTTTGGCAAGAAAAGAATTCACCACCTGGCCACTGTGGGGGCTTTGGTTCCCAACTTCGTGTCCATCTATCCTGCCTCCTGCCCTGGACTCTCATAACTATGATCTTAGTCAAATGGATGGATGCATCCACCCCATCAGCTATAAATTTAATCACAATCTATTAGGAGAACTAAGTCCCTCCAGCAAAGGCTGAGTCTAGCTGAAAAATCAATGAGTTCATGGAAGAAGTCAGACCAGGAAATCATAGGGTTTTTTGTCTGTTTTTGTTTTCAGTTATCTTGGTGTTTCACAAGAATTCATTTGATATTCTGAATGAACTGGAAAGTTACTATAGTGATGGCTCCACTTTAAATATGGGGACACATCCCAAAGAGAAGCATTACAAACAGAAATCTGCCCAACAAGGATTATATATTATAAGGATCTTATATTATAACACCATATTTGTCCTTTCCAAATCCTGATGCTGTGATTACTTGAGGCTAAATGAGAACAGCAGAAAGTGTTTAAAGATGGGTCCGGCTGGGTGTGATGGCTCACACTTGTAATCCCAGCACTTTGGGAGGATGAGGCTGGAGGATTGCTTGAGCCCTGGAGTTCCAGACCTCAAGCCAGGGCAACATAGCAAAAATCCACCTCTACATAAAGTGAAAAAATTAGCTGGGTGTGGTGGTGTGCACACGTGGTCCCAGCTACTTAGGAGGCCGAGGTGGGAGGATCGCTTGAACCTTAGAAGGTTGAGGCTGCAGTGAGCCACATTCACACCACTGCACTTCAGCCTGGGTGACAGAGAGCAAGACTCTGTCTCTAAATAAATAAATAAATAAAAAGATGGGTCTCAGGGTTCCACAGGGGCTGCCATGACCTATGAGTGGAGGAGGGGCTTCTTGGGTCAGGTACTCTGATGTAATTCAAAGAATTAGAGAGGCCTCGTCCAGTTCATTCAGACCTCACAATGCAGCTGCAGAATTAGCCACTTGATCAAGGAGGACCGTCAGAGCGCACAGGGCGGTGAACTGAATGAGCGCTGAGGTTTGGCTGCTTTTTACTCCTCGGACCCTGTGAGTCTTTGCTTCCCTGCGCCTTGGTCTGCATGTGGGAGAGAAAGAGGCAGCCTAAACCAGCTGCACAGAGGAAGAGTGAACAGCCCATTAAGTTATCAGTGGGGCCCAGTGGGTAGAGTGGGGACGTGACAGCAGGAAAACAGAGATGGCATCTCTCTGGGCCTCTCCTACCTGCACCAGGTCTCTTTCTGCAACATGAGTTTCTCTGGGATGTGTGTTTGCTGTTGGGGAGCTGGAGTGAGCCTGTGTGGGTTGGAACTGTTTTCACCTCTGAATATGTCCTTATTTTGTGGTCATGCAGTTTTGGATTGAGATTGTCTGAGACTTCAAAGGAAACCCCAAAGCTCGCAGGAGAGAATATTGAAGAAAAGCGCATTGTATGTAGTATGGTTTGGCTTTTTTCTTCCAGCTGTAAAATTTGGCCGAATGTCAAAAAAGCAGAGAGACAGCTTGTATGCAGAAGTGCAGAAACACCGGATGCAGCAGCAGCAGCGCGACCACCAGCAGCAGCCTGGAGAGGCCGAGCCGCTGACGCCCACCTACAACATCTCGGCCAACGGGCTGACGGAACTTCACGACGACCTCAGTAACTACATTGACGGGCACACCCCTGAGGGGAGTAAGGCAGACTCCGCCGTCAGCAGCTTCTACCTGGACATACAGCCTTCCCCAGACCAGTCAGGTCTTGATATCAATGGAATCAAACCAGAACCAATATGTGACTACACACCAGCATCAGGCTTCTTTCCCTACTGTTCGTTCACCAACGGCGAGACTTCCCCAACTGTGTCCATGGCAGAATTAGGTAATGGCATGCATGCTTCTCCTGAGATGCTCTGTTCATGCCCTTTAAAGTAAAAGGGGCATGTCTGACTTTCCTCTAATGAGTTCTGCTAAATGTTGCAATTCACCTTTACCATTTGGGCCACTTCATTTTCTGCCCTGCCCCCTTGCTTTTGACCCTCTGCTGTTTCCCATGGTTTATCCAATACCTGCATTGACCTCTCAGCATTAGAAATGGGACAAAACCAACGGAAGCAGTCTTTGAATTCTGCAGAAAACTGGAAGCTCAGGAAATGGCTACATTAACTTCATTAGTGGTTTAGTTATATTCCAGGGATTGCTTTATACCTAAGGTGACAAAAGAAAATGGCAGTCCACAAACTGAACTTGGCCCATAGACGTATTTTTTTGACCAGTGCAGTTTTAAAATTTTTGAATCAGTTGCTAATATTTAAATTTGGATAATTATACCCAAAAGTTCAGATTTTTTAGCTTCTTGTGGGAGGGGAAAAAATGATCTATTTACAGTGGGCCAACATTTGTGAATGTCAACAGCCAACTGGCAACAGCCAGGGGCTTACACCTTTCAATGGGCCCACCCCACTCCTGCCATTTATATCATATGCACAGCCCCTGTAGGCATCTAAGTTTTGCAACTCTGATATACAGTATAAATGTTCAACAGAAATTAGCTGCTTTACTTACCAGAATGATCTGATGATGGATATTGGTGACAAAATTGATGTAATTCATATAAGGCTCACCATGCAAAAGACAAAAAACTGTCCTTTTCTTACTGCTGGAACATTACTGCTTCTTGGGAGATGTGACCTAGAAATGTTGATAACACAGACAATGGGCAACTTTCCATTTCAAGAAGGTTGTGTTAACATCCACTGCTATATTTAATCGATTTTTAAGTACAGCACTATTATTAGAAAAACTTTGATAAGAACCTTTGTAGTTTTTGAATTTGATCTGCTCCTCCTGGTGGTTCCTCACACAAGGTTATAATCCTTTGGGATATTTCAATTAGTTGCTGTGGAGATGACTAAGTTAATACGAGGAGAGAATGAAGACTTCAGATGGAAAAGAAACAGCAGGTTCAGACTTGAGCACAGAAATCCTCAGTTCACAGAAATAATGGCTGTGTTCTTTAGACGGTTTCTCTACCTCTGCACCCCATAAAACATCTTTTAAGTGAAAATTTATATTTCCAGTAAAATCTTTCTCCAAATAGAACAAATTGAATGTTCTTTACAGTTTTTACACAAGCATCTCTTTATGGGTCTAAATTTAAATCCTCAAGAGCAGAGACATTTTAAGCCTGGTCTTTAACCACTGAACAGCATTAAAAGGTGTATTGCAGCTCTTTTGATTAACAGAGAAACCTCTGAACTAGAAGCCAAGCTGAGCAGAGGTAGGTTTGGTTTTTTTTTTTTTTTCTTGAACTAGAACAAAAACCTTCCATTTTTGTCATGAAATCTTGGTTGGCTGAGCCTTAAGCAGAACTGTAATGAAAGTAAAATTTTCAGATATGAATAAGGATTTGATTGAAAGCTGACATGATACCATGAAAAATGACCTGACTCACTTTAGGTTTGCTTCCACCTTACCATAAGTATTAGTGACTCTGTCCTGTTTGCTTGTCAAATGTTCAATCCTGAAATAAATCCATAGGCCTTAGGCAAAGCATTGCCCTTGAACATGGCACTTTGGCTAAAAAATGCACTGACACCGAAGTGGGGCCAGAGATGGCTGAGCTGATTCCCTGAGGCTCCCGGACAAGTCAGCTTCCTCTTCCGTGGTCTCACTCTCCAGTGCAGTCTGGGAGCCCTGCCCCCTCACTGCTTGCTCTATGTGCTTTTAAATTAGGAATTTTTCACAGGTGGTGTGGCATTTTCCAGGATAAATTAAATGAGATCATCACTAGGAGAATTCCCAAACCCAAAACTAAACTAGCATTTATCTGGAAAGGATATAATTGGGCTGTAATTCTCTTATCCCATTTATGCATGCAAAGTGTTTCAGGGAGCTAAGAGTATCATGAAAGTGGCCCAAGTCTTGTTGCTGCTTCTCCAAAGCTACTTACATTTCCCTGGTATTTCTTTTGGGGCTTACAGCCTGCTATCTCTTTAAGACTCTTGACTTCATTTTAGGCTAAACTTTGTCATCAGATTTTAAACAAATGAAACCAATTATGTAATAGGAAGATAAATTATAAACCAACACGTCCTAAGTCCAATTCTCTCTTTCAAGTGTAGTATGCACAACCTATTACTTTTAGTGAAAAATATGTCTTCATCCTTGGCTAGGAAATTTTGCCCTTGGTGTACAATTAGTACCTGAATTATACATTCCAGATAAACAACCTAGGTTTTAAGTGCAAATTATGTTTGTTACTATAATTGATATCTAAAGCTTTGCACAGGAGAAACAACTGATATATTGCGCAAACATGAGACAAGAAATCCACTTATATGGGTGGTGGTCCTAGCATTAATATAAGTTGTACAACCCAGTATAAGTCACATAACATCTGTGAGCTGTAGTTTCTCTACCCCTAGAATATAAAGGTCTGTGTCTCAATCATAGCTCTGCCACTTGCCAGCTGTGACACCTTGAAGAAGTCACTTCACTGTGGTTCAGTTTCCTCATCTGTAAAATGGAGATAATACTAGTACCCTTCTTCTGGGGTTGTTATAAGGATTAAGTGAGAAAACACATATATTTAGGATAGATACAAAGTAGGTGGGACTGGCATACAGTAAATGCTATATGTGTTAACTGTTATCATAATTCTTAATGTCATTATTATTTGTTAAACAAGGACAGTTTGGACTAGATGCTTTCTAAAGTTCCTTCCCACTGTGAAAATCTCTGACTAACTCAGAAGCCAGGACTTCCCATCTGAAGTATCAAAGCGCTGGCTGTATTGCTGAAGCAGTCATGGTTGGGGCACATGACTTGCCCCAGTCACAAAGTGAGGTAGATAGATTATCTGCTGAGCTCAGACAGAAGCCAGGTCTCCTAACTCCTAGCACAAAGTGTTTCACTATTCCAGACTTTATCTGAGAGACCACGCTTAAATTCTCGACTTTTATTCAGCCTGACCATACTCGCGTTTGCTGAAATGGAGATTTAAAAATAGCAAAGTGTCTAAAATCTTACACTTGCCAAATCGACTATGAATTGGAATGAAAGGCTGTTGGTGAGCAGATGGTGTGAATGCAACCACTGCCCTCTACTGGTATGTCATGTACATTGCATGATTTGTTGTCTCACTTTTTATTGGCTGTTTTAAATAGGTAGGGATAAGTGGCCACAGTTTCTTAAGACAAAGTGAAACCACAAGATGCTAAGTATCTTATTAACTAGAAATGAAGCATAACCTGGAAGGAAATGATATGAGCCTCTTCTCATCCTTCACTCCACAGCATTCCCCTCTGCTTCCCCGTGAACTCTTCATCTTCATCATTTTTTTATTGGCAAAAATTGGTTTACATTCTAGAAACGATCTTATATAGTGAGAGTTCTTTCCAAAAGAGGTAGTTCACTACCTTATTTATGTATTTTCTTGTTTCTTACTCCCCATTATTTTTGTCTTTACTCACCTCTTCTCAAGCATCATTGATTCTAAGACACATAATTTACTGGCTTCTCCCTCTCACTCTCAGTTTCTCATTCTTTCCTTTACATTTGTTATTTTATTTGTGTGTGTGTGTGTGTGTGTGTGTGTGTGTGTGTGTGTTTTTGTTATTTATTCATGCTGTTTTAGTGTCTGTGTGTTTCCAAGAAGGGCTGTTCAGGTTTATTATGTTTCAGTGTCTCTAAGGAGATTCTGGTTTCCAGCTCCATTTAGGTGAACCTGCTCTGTTTTCACACAAACAAGTCTGCTTCTGTTTGACAAAAGCAGTAACAAATTTCCAAACAACTAGATACTCTCCCTAGTGTTGCCAAGTTTGCATTCAGCACCATTCTTTTAAAATGGCTTGCCTATTCTATGGTCAAAACCCTAGGGAGAGGGATCATTTTTTGATATGGTTTTATATTCATGGGATTTTGTCAATTCTTTTTAAAGAAATACTTCTTTAATCATCCTTCCCTTCCAGAACAGTTATTACCAAGCCACTCCAAATTGTTAGTTCCTGGCATCTAGATTCCAGCAGCCTTCCATGTGGTCCTCCTGCCTGAGCTTCTGTGTGCTGCAATCCACCAAGCACAAAACTGCTTGTTCCATTTCCCCAGATATAATTTTATTTTTATTTTTATTTTTTTTAAGATGGACTCTTGCTCTGTTATCCAGGCTGGAGTGCAGTGGTGCGATCTTGGCTCACTGCAATGTCTGGCTTTCAGGTTCAAGTGATTCTCCTGCTTCAGCCTCCCAAGTAGCTGGGATTACAAGTGCCCGCCACCACACCCAGCTAATTTTTGTATTTTCAGTAGAGACAGGGTTTCACCATGTTGGCCAGGCTGGTCTCAAACTCTAGACCTCATGCCTCAGCCTCCCAAATAGCTGGGATCACGGCGGCCACCACCATGCCCTTGTATTTTTAACAGATACATGTTGGCCAGGCCGGTCTTGAACTCCTGACCTCAACTGGTCTGCCCACCTCAGCCTCCCAAAGTGCTGGGATTACAGGCGTGAGCCACCACACCCAGCCAATCTCTTACATTTCTGACAGCTTCAATTACTTTTTTCTTTCTCTTCTTCTGGGTAATTCAGCTTTATATCTTATTATCTAATGTCTTGAATTGTCCTTCCAGTGTGTTCATATGTGTTTGCCAGATTACAAGTTCCTAGAGAAAACTTCTTTGGCCTCTAAGTCTTTAATATCTTCAAACGCCTTAAGCTCAAGTATAATAACTAATATTCTGTAGCACATTCTAAGTAATCCTCCCCATTCTAAGGGCTCAACTCTTTTAATTCTCATAGCAGCCCTGTGAAATAGGTACCATTTCCCTCATTTTACAAATGAGGAAACCAAGCACAAAGAGGTTAAATAACATACCCGAGATCGCATAGCTAGTAAGTAGCAGAGCTGAGATACAGACTCAAATGGTCTAGCTCCAGAGTCTATGACTTCACAACTACACTATGCATAGCCACATGGTAGGCCCTCAGTAATGCTTATTCTGCAATTTGCAGGAAAAACTAAATAAATACCTAGTTGTCACCATAAAAGAGTATCATTTTCTAGTTTTTCAAGAATAAGAATAATCCTTCCCAGGTCAATGTTATGTGGCAGATGTGTCTTCATAAAAATGCCAAGAAGAAACACCAGGTTAATCATTTCCTATGTCTATCTAGGCCAGTATTTTATCATTCCTAGACATGAGTATAAAGACACAGAACAAGGGCAAAGTCAGGAGGGTCTTTGAAGTCACCAAGTCGTATCTTCAAATGTTGGCTTTGCAAAGTCCCTGTCCTCTTTCATGTTGCCAAATACAAAACAGTTCCAAATTACTTGTTTAAATGTGTAAAGACAGTCAAAACCCGCACAGACATTGTTTTCTACTTGTTATTTTTTAAAGTAAATATTACATCACCAGTTATTCAAAGAACTTGGCTTTTCATGTTTGTGATCTCCTGTTTTCTCCTTAGAACACCTTGCACAGAATATATCTAAATCTCATCTGGAAACCTGCCAATACTTGAGAGAAGAGCTCCAGCAGATAACGTGGCAGACCTTTTTGCAGGAAGAAATTGAGAATTATCAAAACAAGGTATGATCTGAGGAATTTTTCCTCCTAGGATTGAGGCAATATTGGGGAGGGTGTTGGTATAGGAAATTTGGTCAAGAGTTCCCACAGACCAAAGAATGAGTGTCTTTCATCAGATATCAGGTTTCTGTTTAAATATCTTTTTTCCAAAGCTGCTAATGTACTTGAAGCTTTGCAGATGCCTGCATGCAAAATTTAAGCAATAGCAAATAATTTCTATTGTGCTTTCTAGGTATACACATACCTCCTTCCATTTGTCAACAGGAGAATAGATTAAGCAGCTTCCAAAAGCCCAAATGAATGGAGATTTGTCTCAATATCCCAATCAAAGATTTTAAGGTCTGGAAGTTCATGTAAAATAATCTCAGCCTCATGTTTCTGAAAGTTGACAAGGAAGCTTCATGTTTCTGGAAGTTGTATTAGGGAGTATATACAAAAAAAGTGTAGAAGCTATGATCGTAACTCCAGTCTGAACCTAGCAATATGAGGCTGACAAATAGTGCCCTACTTGCCTTTTTCTATAAAACACCCAGATCAACAGGATTATCTAGGTGAATCTATTTTACATTTGAGGAAAACTAACATCCGTTGGCATGTCTAGAGAGTGAAACATCAAGACCAGACCTTGACTCCTGGCTCCTAATTCAGTGTTTCTTCCACCCCATCATATCGGTGGAAACAGTCTGAAACTAAGATTAGGGAAACAAGTTGGCAACAAAACACATCCAGATCATTCTGTAACTGAATTGGAGAGTGGGAATATAAAAGGAATTTAACAGGACATGTTGGGGAATAGCAACACATCACTTTGTTTGCCTTTGAGGTAGCAGGTAATGCCAGCAGCCAAAGCTACAAAGGAGAAGCAAGAAAACAGTAAGAAGCAACAAAGTATATGAAATGGGATTTTAGAGTCAGAGATGCTTGGATTTGCATCCTAGGTCCCATATCCACTAGTTTTTTGTTTTGTTTTGTTTTGAGACAGCCAGTTTTGTTTTGTTTTGTGCCCAGGCAGAAAAATATTCTTACGAAAGTGAATTAAGGATGTCATAAAGGTTCTCTAGAGGTGGTATTTATCAGAATGTGCCGTGCCTAGCTCATAGTAGGTGTACAATAAATTCAGTTGATTCCTCCTTTTCTCCCTTTCCCCAAGTAAAGTGGTATTAAATTTTCCAAGGCAAAATAATTACTTAAAAGAAGATCCAGGCTAGACGCGGTAGCTCATGCCTGTAATCCCAGCACTTTGGGAGGTCCAGGCAGACAGATCACTTGAGGGCAGGAGTTCAAGACCAGCCTGGCCAACATGGTAAAACTCTGTCTCTATTAAAAATATAGAAATTAGCTGGGTGTGGTGGCATGTGCCTCTAATCCCAGATACTCAGAAGGCTGAGGCAGAAGAATCACTTGAACCCAGGAGGCAGAGGTTGCAGTGAGCTGAGATTGCGCCACTGCACTCCAGCCTGGGTGACAGAGCAAGACTCCATCTCAAAAAAAAAAAAAAAAAAAAAAAAGAAATCCTACTTTACCACTCTTCGTGGCCCAGGGCGAAAGCAGTGGCATGCTTTGCTTTCATAACTCTTCAACTTCTGCTACAGAACCTAACATCTTCCTGGAGGATGTTAATGTGTTTCCCTCTTTAACAGCAGCGGGAGGTGATGTGGCAATTGTGTGCCATCAAAATTACAGAAGCTATACAGTATGTGGTGGAGTTTGCCAAACGCATTGATGGATTTATGGAACTGTGTCAAAATGATCAAATTGTGCTTCTAAAAGCAGGTATGTGCTTTGCAAGTGAATTTTGAGATCTCTTCCTAACCTGCTTTCATCCGCTTATTAAAGAAATGCTTGGTAAGGAAGGTGTCGGGAACAGTTTTTCTCCAATGATAATAGCTCAGGTTTTTCTTAGCAGAAATGGAGTTCTTCTGAAAGGTTTTCAGATATATTCAGGAAACATTCCCCCCCACTTCACTTCTCTTCTGGATGAAAAGATTAATTTGAAGGTCACCTGCATTCCCAAATTTTCCCATCACCTGTGTTTTGTTTCTACACTCCAAGTCCTCCGAGTTTATGATGTTAGGAAGAAGGAAGTAGAACTCAGAAAGATATACTTGTTTTTGATTCTTGGTTTAGTACATGTGAATAAATGTTTTCCTAGCAACTCTGAGACTCTGCATTGCGAGGTAGAAGAGTGCTAAGGAAGTAATTTATAAATCAACCCTCACTTCAGTTAAACAGGCCTTAGCTTCAGCACAACAGTCTTTACATAGAAAACTCTGTCTTTCTGGATAGACAGCTGGATGTGACTGAGAACCCACTAGCTAAACTGCACACGACACCCACCATGCTGTCTCAGAAGGAGTCTCTACATGAGCACCTTAGAAACAAACTCACTAACATCAGATGACCCAAATGACCTGAACCATTTCTGCCTCTGCTTAGGTTCTCTAGAGGTGGTGTTTATCAGAATGTGCCGTGCCTTTGACTCTCAGAACAACACCGTGTACTTTGATGGGAAGTATGCCAGCCCCGACATCTTCAAATCCTTAGGTAAGGGGTATCAAGGTGCCTTTTCTTCAAATCGGGGCTATAGGAAAAGATGCGGGTTGAGTGAAAGCTCTGCTTGGACAAAATGAAAACTGGTTATTCAGAAACAAAAATTAAGGGATTTTATACCTATTTTACTTTCTAATTAGTCACTGTAGAAAAGTCATATAGCTCGGCCGGGCACGGTGGCTCACGCCTGTAATCCCAGCACTTTGGGAGGCTGAGACAGGCAGCTCATGAGGTCAGGAGATCGAGACCATGGTGAAACCCCATCTCTGCTAAAAATACAAAAAATTAGCCAGGTGTGGTGGTGGGCGCCTGTAGTCCCAGCTACTCAGGAGACTGAGGCAGGAGAATGGTGTGAACCCAGGAGGTGGAGCTTGCAGTGAGCCGAGATTGCGCCACTGTACTCCAGTCTGGGCAACACAGCAAGACTCCGTCTCAAAAAAAAAAAAAAAAAGTCATATAGGACAAAAGTTTTTTGTCTACATTACATGTAAAGATCTAGAGTTTCATTTTATCTAGTTGGTAAT